AGAAGCCCGAGGCCGAGCATACCCGCAAGGGGAAGCCGCGCATCGGCGGCAGGAACAGGGCACCCGACCCCGCATGGAACCCCCCTTATTCCTGACAGGCGCTAAGGTGTGGCTACACACCCCTCGCGTCGGGGCCGGGCAGGTGGGGAAACTGACGACCTACTGGCGGGGACCCTGGACCGTGGTGCGGCAGATATCCCCCTGGACGGTACTAATTTATGGCGGGGAGGGGGGTCGAGAGACGGTGGTCAATGTCCGCCGCTTAAAACCGTGGAAAGCGGCCCCGGCGAGAGAGAACCCCGTCACCCGAAGGCACCGAAATCCCGGAGTACCCGCACCCCTCGTGTTGCGGGGCCTCGCACACTACATGGGCCCCGCCGGACCCCCGAGACGCCCCGATCCAGTCCGGAGACGGCGCGGACGACGGGCCCTAGACCCTTCCGCTGCCGAGTTTGTGCCCCAGCCCACAGGTGCCGGAGGACGGGGAGAGCCGCTGGAGTGGAGGAGGAGGCCGCCGCAGGAGCTGCAGAGGACGGAACCACCCGCCCCGAGGCTAGCCACCAGGTCCGGACGGATCCCCCGGACCCCGCAACGTTTTCTCGTGGGCGCGGCCCAAGCGAGGTGCTCCAGTCAACCCGGGATGGGGACTGGCACCTCGGGGGTCTATGTGATGCCGCCGCCACGAAGCCGTTCGGCAGGCGCCCAAATCCCCGACCTCGCCACCACCAAGCAACGGAGCCAACCCCGCGTCCCCCTCACCTCACACGAACACACCCGCACGCATTTTCCCCCACCCATAGAGCTGGACGGGGAGGTCACCTGGCCGACCGGTTTTTATCCGAGAAACCCTTATCGGGGTTAACTCTCACGGTTTCCGGCGATCAGGGAATTGGATGACCTCCCCCGTGCTACGTGGCACCGCGGCGCTGCGACCAGCCTTAATATAGTGTGGTCGCGGCATGGGGCATTCGGCCACCGTGGTTGAGGCGCATTTCCCCCCACACACACCCCCACGGGTCGACGGGGCAAGCAGGGAAGGGACGGGACAGCATGAATAGCGGGACCGCAGGAGCTGTTGCGCATAGTCATGGAGGGTTGGGATAATTACGCTTGAGCGCGCAGGCCCCATTGTTAGGAAGGGTAAGGGATTAACTAGGATTTACGCCTTGCACGCCGCACACTGATTAGCATATCAACAGCGCCCGGAACCACCGTGCGCGGGCTCGAGGTGCACGAGCCCATTGTTCAGCGCAGCATCCCCTTTGAGGTAGGGAGGATAAATAGAGGGGCGTAGAGGGGAAATCGCTCTCTTACTTCAGCGCCAGGCGACCAGACGCAGCTGCAGCCAGCGACCCGGACATCCGTGTGACGCACCGAGGCACGCGGTTAGCACAAGGATCAACGGACCGCCGTGGACACTTAACAGTGAGTAAGAAGGTGAATTAGAATCATAGCAGATAAATCGGGAATAGGTATAGAGGTATCAGCGTAGGCCAGCCTCGTCGACTCACTGATTTAACATCTAGTTCCAGGTCGCGGGTAATAAATCATTAATAGCTGATCGTGGCCTCGTGTGATCTCGTGTTATAAGTGTGAATGCGTGTGGTACGGTGTATGTGTAAGCTCTCGGCGTGCGTAATCGGCGTACCCCAGGTGCGCGATCATAACGTGAGCGGCCAGCGCGGCGCAGAGCGGCGCAAGAGTGGGTATCGCGTGTGGAGCTGTATGTGTGTGCGCGCACGTTCACGACGTGTATAATACAGGTGCGCGATCCTAACGCGAGTGGTCAGTATTGAGTGAGTGCCGCGCAGAGCTGTGTGTGGGAGTGCGCATACGTTCGTTACGTGTCGGATACGGATGCGCATTGGTAACGTGCCGCACAGGGCTATACTGCGAGCACGGCGTTTGATTGATGATGATGTGCGCACGTATGCTCGCAGCGTGGGAGCGCGGCGCGAGGCTGTAATAGTAGGGGTATCGCGGTCGAATGCCGGCGAAACCGTAGCGGGTAATAGGGAGGTGGGGTAACGTAAACGGAATAGGGGATGCAGGCGGGAGGGACCCCGGGGGCCGACGGCCTCCACATAGCACGGGGGAGGTCATCCAATTCCCTGATCGCCGGAAACCGTGAGAGTTAACCCCGATAAGGGTTTCTCGGATAAAAACCGGTCGGCCAGGTAACCTCCCCTTCCAGCTCTATGGGTGGGGGAAAATGCGTGCGGGTGTGTTCATGTGAGGTGAGGTGAGGGGGACGCGGGGTTGGCTCCGTTGCTTGGTGGTGGCGAGGTCGGGGATTTGGGCGCCTGCTGAACGGCTTCGTGGCGGCGGCATCACACTAGCGCTGCGCCTTGCCAGGAGGCGCCAGGTTGGGTTTTTTTCTTTTCCACTGCAGAAACCGAGCCATGCAAATAAGAAGAGACTTTTATTTTTGTCTTTGACCAAAGTAGTTCGAGAGAGCCGCATCACGCGCGCAGAGCCACTTGTACACAAACAGAGCCACAGCAGCGCGGGAATACAGCAGACGACGACAACAACAACGCATTGTGGCTCAAATAAACAAAATAAGTGATGGAATAAACTGTTGTTTATTTACTTTTTTGTCCCCCTTAGTTATTTTTTAACGCTACAGTTTGTGACTGTTGCACATTTTGTCGTCACCAAGACATTCCACGGTGACCCCGTTCCCTGCCATATTTAATACATTATCCTCACGTTAAATTACGTTTACGATTTTAGTAAAAAAAACATCTGCCTACAAGGGGGAAGCCAACGAGCCACAGCATGCGCCACGGTGGCCAGGATATGTTAACTACCTCGCCTGGTATACAGGAGGTTCATGGGTTCGATCCCGACCCTTACGCCTGCTGCTGTATATTTGGAGTTTGCGGTGTTTCTCTCGCCCCATGGTTCGCGTGGATTTTTCAATGGGTCCTTCCGGTTTAAATTTGAAATGACACATTTAATAAACTCAAACTATTACATGTATTACATCACATTACATTCATGTCAGCATCTAGAATAATAATAATACAGCTATTCAACGTTCTTGTTGGTATACTAGATTCATTTCTGGATACCCTGTAAAACACATTTATGATAATTTTACCACCCTTTTTAAGTGCTGTAATATTATTTATTGTGTGGACGCCATCGCCACTTCTCGATGCGCAAACTCCAGCAGCAAACAAAATAACTCGGGTGAACTCCTTTTGGCGATCGACGTTCCGAGTGACGATCGTGACCCTTTCGAAGGGAATAATCACCCACTCGCCCTCCTCCCGTGATCCGCGGATTAAAACAAATCAGTCGAGACGTCGATGTACGGCAGCCAGAGGCGGTGCACGCGACTAATACCAACGCAAGAGGGTTTCTATCGCTCACTATGCGTGATGGATTAATGAACATTCATATATCTAGTATGTATAAAATACACATTTTAAGAAAAATGTTTTTTTTTTTTCTGTTGGTGTAATTCGTGCTTCATGGCACTGCTGCCAACAGTTGATCAGCAACTAATCTGTTAACACAATGCACCCGGTAACAGCCAAAGTACAGCGGCTCAATGCGAATGAATATTCAGGCATGGGTATTTCATGAATGAATATTTCACGAACGCATATTAATTCATCAATGAATGTTTCATGAATCAGTATATCATTAATGAATGTGTAGGGGTGTTAGAGAGAGGGCCGTTATGTATGGCAGTCTATGGGAAACAAACACAGTGGGCGGGGCTACGTGTGTGCACAGGGAGATGCCCTCTGCGACGTCCGAGCCAGACACCCTGGGGGGGGGGTGGTTTGGCGTTATGATCCCCCGGGGCCCCACCCCTCAAGGAGGGTTGGGTATAAAAGGGGACGTTATATGGGCTCGAGTTCAGTTATGTTATAGTTAACTAAGAAGACTGAAGACGTCTTAGATAGAGCCCTGGACTCCCCTCGTTCGATGTCCTTGTCAGGGCCGAACAGGACCGAGCCAGTGGCGTGGTCCCGAAAGCCAGAGCCGGTGCTCTTCTAAGAGCTGGTCTGGGACTCCGGGTACCGGCCCGACTTACCAGTGTCGGGCCAAGTAGCCTCCCCTAGCCCAGTAGTGGAGGACTGTGAGGCAGGCTAGGACTTAGCTAGAAGTGTATCCTTAGCTAGTCGGGTGAGGGGGCCGATACCCCCTCCAGTGCTGTATGTCACATACGAGCTGTGTTGAATAAATATCCGTGTGCCTCCACCTCGGCGTCAAGTGTCTTCACCGGTACTTCAAATGTTTCACGAATTTATATGCATTAATACATTAATGTTTCATGAATGAGTATTAATTCATGAATGAATATTTCAGTGCTGTAAACAGCACTTTTTTTAACATCACTTGCCCCAGCCGTCTGTTAAGGCTATACGGGAATTCGTTTTCTTGGTGCTCACAAACAGCACTTACCCCAACAGTCTGTGAAAGGCTATGAATGAATTCCCATTTATCACAGGAGAGGTATTTTTTTTGTTGAGACTTTGGCTACAGTGCAGCATTGCTTTTGTTCAGTTATGCTGCTAAACTGGTATTCGTCACGGAAGTGGGGTTTTTGTTACGCGATCGTCTTAAATCCCACGACCATACATGCCTCTCGCCGTGCTAGCTTTGTGTGTGTATGCGTACACCTGTTACTACTCGTGGCGCGTTGGTCAGGTTGTACTTTTACTGGTAGCAACCTCCTAGTTACACCAGCCCACAGGGGATTATTGTGTCCGTCGTGCAGGGAGGGGCTGGGTGGGGAGGGAGGGGCTGGGTGGGGAGGGGAGGGTGGGGAGGGGCTGGGTGGGGAGGTTGGGGCTGAGTGGGGAGGTTGGGGCTGGGTGGGGAGGTTGGGGCTGGGTGGGGAGGTTGGGGCTGGGTGGGGAGGTTGGGGCTGGGTGGGGGGGTGGGAGGGGTGGGGAGGGGCTAGTCACCTTGTGGTGCCCTTATAAAACTCAACGTTTAACCTACTCACGCCGGCTTGTGCCCGCCCTCACAGTCCGGCATATTTACGGAATACACCACGCCGCCATTGACCCTGACCACTGACCGAGCAACCCAACGTTCCTACCAGCTCCCTCCGCAGGAATGTGTTAATTCTAAAACGTGGATGGGTTTTTTTGGGGGGACGGGGTCCCTTGAGAGTCCATGAAAGCGTAGAACACTCTTCTGCGTTGAGCTGCAATGTGCGGAGGACTGGGGATGTTTTGGCCAACTATATATCACTTACACTGTGTGTTGGTGCGGTTTTGATTTCTCTGGCGGTAGTGGGAGTGGTAGTGTAACGGTTAGCGCTACGCTTCACTGCGAATCCGGCACCCCGAATTCGATTCCCGCTCACAACCAACACCAGTGGCGATTATTGAACCGGTTCTGAGACTCGCCTAGGTCGACTCAGCCTCAAATGAGTACCTGGTGTGGTGTTTAAACATCGCCAATAGGGAGACAAAGGCGGTCGGGCGTGGTGCTGACCACCCGCCCCACTCGTGTGCCACAGTGTCGGCCTTCATCAGTGCTACTCGCTAACAGCACTCGCCACGACAGTCTGTTAGAGGTTATACGGGGGGATCTTTGCTAACCCATGCGGAATCGGGCGGATAATAGTTACTTAACTCTGCATAAAAGCGCCCAGATCCGGAAATGAAACCGAAGTGAGTGCATGAACACCTTGCAATGGGGGAAGGGGGTCGTGAGCGAGTTGCGACCCGGGGGTTGGCGAGTGAGCGAGCTGGTGGAGGAGGAGGATGTTCGAGAGGTACGACAGTTCACAGACGCAACATCTTCCAGCGACTTTCGGAGAGAAAGATGCGCACGAAAAACATGCTCAGCCTGCTGCTTCTACTGCTCGCCAGTGCGAGTGAGTGTCTCACAGATTCTCACTCATACTCACACACAAGATACTCATAGACTCTCACTCATACTCACACACAAGATACTCACAGACTCAAACTCACACACAAGATACTCACAGACTCTCACTCACACACAAGATACTCACAGACTCTCACTCATACTCACACTCTCACTCATACACAAGATACTAACAGACTCACACACATACTAATACACAAGATACTTACAGACCCATACATACACATATACTCACAGACTCAAACAGATACACAGATACTCACACTCACACATACTCACACACAAGACACTGACAGACTCACACAGTTACTCACAGACTCTCACTCATACTCACACACAAGATACTCACAGACTCATATTCACTTAGATACTCACAAACACACTCATACTCACACGCAATATAATTCACAGACACTCACTCATACTCACACACAAGATACTAACAGACTCACACACATACTAATACACAAGATACTTATATACCCATACATACACATATACTCACAGACTTCAAACAGATACACAGACACTCACAGACTCTCACTCATACTCACACACAAGATACTCATAGACACTCACTCATACTCACACACAAGATACTCACAGACTCACACTCAAGATACTCACAGACTTTCACTCATACTCACACACAAGATACTCACAGACTCTCACTCATACACAATATACTAACAGACTCACACACATACTAATACACAAGATACTTACAGACCCATACATACACATATACTCACAGACTCTCACTCATAAGCACACGCAATATACTCACACTCTCACTCATACTCACACACAATATACTCACAGACTCATACTCATACTCACGCACAAGATAATCACACACTCATACTCACACACAAGATACTCACATTCATACTCACACACAAGATACTCACAGACTCTCACTCATACTCACACACAAGATACTCACAGACTCACACACATACTAATACACAAGATACTTACAGACCCATACATACACATATACTCACAGACTCAAACAGATACACAGATACTCACACTCACACATACTCACACACAGGACACTGACAGACTCACACAGTTACTCACAGACTCTCACTCATACTCACACACAAGATACTCACAGACTCATATTCACTTAGATACTCACAAACACACTCATACTCACACGCAATATAATTCACAGACACTCACTCATACACACAAGATACTAACAGACTCACACACATACTAATACACAAGATACTTACATACCCATACATACACATATACTCACAGACTCAAACAGATACACAAGATACTCACAGACTCTCACTCATACTCACACACAAAATACTCACAGACGCGCACTCATACTCACACACAAGATACAGACTCTCACTCATACACAAGATACTAACAGACTCACACTCATACTCACACTCTCACTCATACACGAGATACTAACAGACTCACACACATACTAATACACAAGATACTTACAGACCCATACAAACACATATACTCACAGACTCAAACAGATACACAGATACTCATACATACTCACACACAAGATACTCACAGACTCTCACTCATACTCACACACAAGATACAGACTCTCACTCATACACGAGATACTAACAGACTCACACACATACTAATACACAAGATACTTACAGACCCATACAAACACATATACTCACAGACTCAAACAGATACACAGATACTCACACTCACACATACTCACACACAAGACACTGACAGACTCACACAGTTACTCACAGACTCTCACTCATACTCACACACAAGATACTAACAGACTCACACACATACTAATACACAAGATACTTACAGACCCATACATACACATATACTCACAGACTCTCACTCATAAGCACACGCAATATACTCACATTCTCACTCATACTCACACACAATATACTCACAGACTCACACTCATACTCACGCACAAGATAATCACACACTCATACTCACACACAAGATACTCACATTCATACTCACACACAAGATACTCACAGACTCTCACTCATACTCACACACAAGATACTCACAGACTCACACACATACTAATACACAAGATACTTACAGACCCATACATACACATATACTCACAGACTCAAACAGATACACAGATACTCACACTCACACATACTCACACACAGGACACTGACAGACTCACACAGTTACTCACAGACTCTCACTCATACTCACACACAAGATACTCACAGACTCATATTCACTTAGATACTCACAAACACACTCATACTCACACGCAATATAATTGACAGACACTCACTCATATACACACACGATACTAACAGACTCACACACATACTAATACACAAGATACTTACATACCCATACATACACATATACTCACAGACTCAAACAGATACACAAGATACTCACAGACTCTCACTCATACTCACACACAAAATACTCACAGACGCGCACTCATACTCACACACAAGATACAGACTCTCACTCATACACAAGATACTAAGAGACTCACACTCATACTCACACTCTCACTCATACACGAGATACTAACAGACTCACACACATACTAATACACAAGATACTTACAGACCCATACGAACACATATACTCACAGACTCAAACAGATACACAGATACTCATACATACTGACAGACAAGATACTCACAGACTCACACTCACACACAAGATACTCACAGACTCTCACTCATACTCACACACAAGATATAGACTCTCACTCATACACAAGATACTAACAGACTCACACTCATACTCACACTCTCACTCATACACGAGATACTAACAGACTCACACACATACTAATACACAAGATACTTACAGACCCATACGAACACATATACTCACAGACTCAAACAGATACACAGATACTCATACATACTGACAGACAAGATACTCACAGACTCACACTCACACACAAGATACTCACAGACTCTCACTCATACTCACACACAAGATATAGACTCTCACTCATACACAAGATACTAACAGACTCACACTCATACTCACACTCTCACTCATACACGAGATACTAACAGACTCACACACATACTAATACACAAGATACTTACAGACCCATACAAACACATATACTCACAGACTCAAACAGATACACAGATACTCACACTCACACATACTCACACACAAGACACTGACAGACTCACACAGTTACTCACAGACTCTCACTCATACTCACACACAAGATACTAACAGACTCACACACATACTAATACACAAGATACTTACAGACCCATACATACACATATACTCACAGACTCTCACTCATAAGCACACGCAATATACTCACAGACTCACACTCATACTCACGCACAAGATAATCACACACTCATACTCACACACAAGATACTCACATTCATACTCACACACAAGATACTCACAGACTCTCACTCATACTCACACACAAGATACTCACAGACTCTCACTCATACTCACACACAATATACTAACAGACTCACACATACTCACACACAAGATACTCACATTCATACTCACACACAAGATACTCTAACACTCACACTCACTCAGATACTCACAGACTCACACTCATACTCACACACAAGATACTCACAGACTCTCACTCATAATCACACGCAATAAACTCACAGACTCTCACTCATACTCACACACAAGATACTCACAGACTCTCACTTATACTCACACACAAGATACTCACAGACCCTCACTCATAATCACACACAAGATACTCACAGACTCTCACTCATACTGACACACAAGATACTCACAGACTCTCACTCATACTCACACACAAGATACTCACAGACTCACACTCATACTCACAGACTCTCACTCATACACAATATCCTCACAGACTCACACACAAGATACTGACAGACTCACACTCATACTCACACACAAGATACTCACAGACTCACACTCATACTCACACACAAGATACTCACAGACTCTCACTCATAAGCACACGCAATATACTCACACTCTCACTCATACTCACACACAAGATACTCACAGACTCACACTCATACTCACACACAATATACCTTCAGAAACTCACTCGTACTCACACACAAGATACTCACATACTCACACTCATACTCACGCACAAGATAATCACAGACTCACACTCATACTCACACACAAGATACTCACAGACTCTCACTCATAAGCACACGCAATATACTCACACTCTCACTCAAACTCACACACAATATACTCACAGACTCACACTCATACTCACGCACAAGATAATCACACACTCATACTCACACACAAGATACTCACATTCATACTCACCCACAAGATACTCACAGACTCACACTCATACTCACACACCAGATACTCACAGACTCATACTCACACAAAAGATACTCATAGACTCACATCTCATACTCACACACAATATACTCACAGACTCTCACTCATATCACACACAATATACTAACAGACTCATACTCACACGCACGATACTCACAGACAAGATACTCAAAGACTCACACATTCTCACACACAAGATACTCACAGACTCACACAGATACTCACATTCTCACTCATACACACAAGATACTAACAGACTGACACACATAACAATACACAAGATACTTACATACCCATACATACACATATTACTCACAGACTCAAACAGATACACAAGATACTCACAGACTCTCACTCATACTCACAAACAAAATACTCACAGACGCTCACTCATACTCACACACAAGATATAGACTCTCATTCATACACAAGATACTAACATACTCACACTCATACTCACACTCTCACTCATACACGAGATACTAACAGACTCACACACATACTAATACACAAGATACTTACAGACCCATACAAACACATATACTCACAGACTCAAACAGATACACAGATACTCATACATACTCACACACAAGATACTCACAGACTCACACTCATACTCACACACAAGATACTCACAGACTCTCACTCATACTCACACAC